TTTGCCCGTCACCCCATGTGGAGCCTTTGGCTGGTGCAGCAGCTCCTGCCGGGGCCCTCCCTCTGCCCCACACAGGAAGCACTGGGGGTTTTACTCACTGGGGCTGAATCCTCTGCAGGAAACTGCCCCGAGTACAGGGAGAGCCAGAGCCACCTGCCACTCAGTGTACGTCCTGCAGATAAGGGCCTGCGTGCGCTGCTTTACGAGAGGGTGATTTATCTTCCGCGCTGTGATGCCTCTGGGGTTTTGTTCTTTGGTGTCTCATTGTTTGGGAGGATCAGAACTTTTATAGGTAAATGTTCTGAAAAATTAAAACGCCAGCTTGGTGCTGTTAATAAATCATCTGTCACAAACCCCAGAGGTTCAATTTTGAAACTACTTTTTGTTATGAAAGTGTTCTTTTTCAGGCGTGTCATTCTAAAGTATGAAAATAGGTGGTGATCCCCTGCCCGTGGTGACTGAATTGTCTGACCTCGCTCTTTTTAAACCAGAGCACAAAATCAGTGATTCATGCAGGAGCCTGGTCACAGAGCAGAACCTGCTTATGCAAAGGTCAGGCAGCCCCAGGACACAAGACAGGCCTTCTTCAAAGGAGTGCCAATAGGAACTGTGAATTTGGCAATCAGTTACATTATTTAGATAAGTAGGGGTGTGTATGTATGTTTCTTTTAATCTGTAATGACTCCAGAGTCAAAGATAACCAGTGACTAGGAGCAGGTAGGTCCTTTTTCTGTCTCAACAGAGTTGGTGTGAGTTGATCTTAATTTGATTTTTTCCCCCCCCTCCATTCCAGGGAAACACTGGCATTGTAACGGGCATGTTTCTGGTGTCCTTTGTCATCCTGGTTGCTCTGGTGACAGTCTTATCTGGAATTGGAGTGTGTGAGAAGTGCAGCGTTGGAAGTGGAGGGGTCTACTCCATGATTTCTACTGTCCTTGGAGGTCAAGTAGGGGGCACCATTGGCCTCCTTTATATTTTTGGCCAGGTAATTAAAGAAAAAATTATTTAAAGAAGATTTGGAAACTTTGCCATGCAGATATTAATCTTGTGCTTTCCTGCTTCAAGAAGCAATGCGCCAAGTAAAATCTGAGTAATGCTCCACCATGCTGGACAACATGGGAGAGCACCTCGGGGTGCATTCAGCCCCGCTGTGCTCCCCAAGAGCAAGCCTGCACATGGCAGTACACTGCCTGGCATGGGTCACAACGGTGGAGGAACTGGCTGGCTGAGCAAGCAAACTGTGTGGAACATGCCCTCCCATCCCAAATTACCCCCATTGCCAGGACATGCCCGTGCTGGTGGGAGGCTGAAATAAAGCCGAGGTGGGAGAGGCCAGGCAGGCCACCTAAAGCACAGTGAACAGCTGTGGGCTGGCAGGTTGGCCTTGGCGTGCTCCCCATGTGCCCTTAGGCACTAACAAACCTTGGATGCTTCCCTGTAGGAGCCAGCAGCAGCGGAGCTGGTATGGGAGGAGGTAAGGGCAATGGTAAGGGCCACAGCTGGTTGACTTCTTGAGATCCAAAAGTCACAGTTCTGGATTTTCTGAAAGACCCCAAGGAGCCATCATGGTAGTGAAGCACTGAAATACACAAGTAGTAAACATAAAGAAGGGAAAGTAATCTCTTAAACCTGAAGTAACTTAACCCCCTCCCCCTATAAAGATGTTATGAACAGGATAAAATGTGCTGAGCAGAGAAGCATTTTTATTGAGGTTTGTTTTTAACTGACTGGCTTACAATGATCTCCAAAAACCTGTAAACCCCCCCAAACCAAAAATAATTCCCTCTTCTCCTTTCACTCCATGTTAAAAGCAAGAGTCCATGAAATACAAACTGAACACAGTTACAAGCCAAGATATGGAAATGGGCCACACATGAGAATCCTTCCTGTCATATTTTCCACTCTTGCTCTCCGAGCAGACCCCGTCTGGGAAAGCAATCGGGTTGCAGCCTGTCCTGAGGGTTGTAAAAGCTGCGGCAGAGCATCCCGTGCGGACGGGGGCTGCGGGGTGGGAGCTGGCAGCTTGCTTGGAACGCTTTGCCTGCTCCTGAAAGCTGATGCCTTTCCCTTCTCTTTGGCCTTGCTTTCTGCCCAAAGTGCTTTGCACCAGCTGCAGGCTGCTCCCCTACTACAAGATGCTCATGGAGCGCTGTAACCTCCGACACAAGGCAAATCCAGGCAGAAATGGGGATATTCTCCATTCCTTGGTCTGACTGGCATTCCCTGGTCTGCTCTCCATTCCCTGGGGAATGACTGGACTCATTTCTTGGGTGGTGAGAGGCGGCTCAGTGCCCAGGGGCTGCTGCAGAGATGGGCTCCTGCTGCATCAGCCAAGGTGAGCTGAGACCCAGTTGGGCTTTGCTGTCCTCCTGGGATGTGGAGCTGTGCTGCATATCCCTCGTCTGTGGACAGGGATAGTGGGGTTGCAGGACCCAAGGTCATACTACCCATGCCAGCGTGCAGATGTGTGTCCCCACCTGGTTTGCCAGGGTTGCCATGCACTGGAAAGGGTTGTTGCTGAAATGTCAGCTAGTCCTGGTAGTTAGGATTGCTGCCCTGCAGTGGGGTTTGAGGCCTGACTGACCTGCACGCGTCCCGTCCTGCAGACTCTTGGGCAGAGCACATGTCCTGCAGCAAGACAAACAAGCAGCTTTCCCGCGAGCTCAGGGGGCATGGCTTGCACAACGTACTCTCCTCAGAAGTGCAGGCTCCATTCCAGCAACAAGATGGGGAGCTGGTGAAACATCAGACTTTACATCCAAACTAAACACCAAGTTAAAAATAACCTCTGGGAGGCAATGAAGGGGGAAGCAAACTGCTGTTCTTCAGGCAGGTGTTGGACTGGAACCCTTTCCTTCAGAGAAACAGAAGAAAGGGAAGAAACTTAGAGGGTTGTCCCATCCTTTTCTCCCTTGGAGAAGCCAGTGTGGTTTCTCCTGGAGCATTAATGGAGGGCACATTTAAAAGCCACTGGGAGGGTGGTGGGCTACTGGCCCCAGTGCCCAGGCTTTTCTGCTTACCTGGGCAGTAAGTATGCTGCTCTGGCAGTGTGCTGTCTCACTGCAGTAAGGTTCAGTCCCTGCAGGCCAGAGTAACACTGAAGATTGTATTGTGACAACAAACTTCTATCTGTCTGAACGGAGACCCTCCAGACCAGCGTGGGAGCTGTGGATGGGGATCCCTTGTTCTCCCACGGGGCACTCACAGAACTCTGTCCTTCAGTGCGTTGCAGGTGCCATGTACATCACCGGCTTTGCAGAGTCCATTGCAGATGTCCTGAGCCTCAGCAACATCTGGGCAGTGCGCGGGATCTCCCTGGCTGTCCTGCTGGGCCTGCTGGGGATCAACCTGGCTGGGGTGAAGTGGATCATCAGGCTCCAGCTCCTCCTGCTCTTCCTGCTGGCTGTGTCAACGCTGGACTTTGTCATCGGGTCCTTTACACACCTTGATCCAGGTAAAATTGGGGGTTCATCACACTGGGATCAATAGGTGTTAATCCCCCAGGGTTTTCTCCTTAGGTATCTTTGTGATTCCAGATGCACCCCTTGTCATTTGGTACTGAACTTTTAGAGGCAACTTGTAATTTTGCAAGGAGTAAGTATTTCCAGGGCATGATTGAAGATGTTTTATTAGTTTAGGTGTTTAACCTCAGGAATTGAACTCTCAGTGAGTGCTGTTGTTACACTTGTATTGCACTCAGAGATTTGCTAACAACGGAGACCGAATGCATTTGCAGTCGCTCTTTGTAGCCTTCTGCTAACTCTGCGTTACGCACGGTGCTTGTGAAAGCAGAGGATTGTGACTTTGCATTAAGGAGGTCTTCTCCCCAGAGACCCCTGAGGTCACTTAGACTGTGCTGGGCCGCACACGGCTGCATTCACTGCCCAGGACTATGTTGGGGGTCCGAGGGGGGAGCTAGGTGTGCTGGGCAGGTGACTCCTGGGATTTCAAGGGGCTGTGGGTGCAGGTCTCCATTAACCCCAGCCCGACTTCAGCCTGCAGCGGGAGCTTCAGCTTGGGCAAGGTGGAGATTCAGGGCTCTCATCCGCAGCCCTGCTTGCACCCCGAACCCCTTCCCCTCCTCCGTCCTCATCCCTGTGAGGTGCAGAGGTGTTTCCTGCAAAACGCGTCTCTCGATGCGGTGAGTGCCCGCAGTGGCCGCTCCAGCAGTAAAGAGGTGTAATTAGCTGAGTAAACGGAAGGTGTCACCTTCTTCTTGGCTTCCCCTGTGCCCAGCAGCATCTTAGGGGGTTGTGAGCGACTTGCTAAAGTTGGTTTAAAGGAAAGATCTTCGGTTCTGATTTACAGTTGGGATTCAGCTGCCGAGCTGGTGGCAGGAGGTGGGTCACGTACATGTTCACAGCAGCAATGGCTCAGCTGTCTTCATGCTGCTGTATTACTTTGTGCTGCCGGTCCAGGGTGCGAGGCTGATGGGGTGAGGACAGAAGGTTTGCTAACCATTGTGCTGCACCCGTCTCGGAGAGAGCCTCGTGGAAAGGTGTTTGCATTTTATATTTAGCATGTAAGAAATGCCCCAAATGGAAGCTGGTGAAAGTCTCAGCAGACACTTGTAAAGGAGAACGAAGGGAGGATGGTTGAGCTCAGTGCGGTGCGTTTTGCAGAGAAAGCCACTGACCTGCTCCAAACAGCTGTGTTTCATAGGAAGCTGTTTTCTAAAGGAAACAGGGGAGTTTGCATTTCAGTTGTGCTCAGAGGAGACCTTTAATGTGGATCCAGAGACCTTTCTATTAGCAGAGAGAAAACGAATACTCGGGGTGAGACTTGATAGTAGGAAGGTGAACATGGGGTCAGGAGGAGAGAATTAGAGTACAAACATCATTGGGAAACATGCCCAAGTTGTGGTCGATGTAGTCATCTTTGATTTCTTCCACTGCTGAGCACCATGTCATCTTCTTCTGTCAGAAAATAGAGAAAAGAAGGGAAACAAGTCAGATGAACATTGCAGGTGCTGCAGTTTAGCTGTGTCTGGTTAAAGAGAGGAGGGTTTCCAGTGCATGGAAGAGCATGAGGCTGATGGTGGCCAGATCTAAACCCCAAACAGCAGAAGCCCAGAGCAACCCTGCCTGTACGGTGGGACCTGCAGCCATAAGGCTGGTTGGGTAGAGCTGTGGGTTTCTCCGTTTCTACAAACCGCTTCTGTGCGACAGAACTGTTCCGAGTTGGTTACTCCCAAGTCCTGCATTTCCCCAGAAGGCCTCTGAGTGGTGTGTCAGCATCAACGGTGAGCACTGGGCTTTAGGAAGTCTCCTCGCTCCGCCTTTGCATGCTTTCTGCAGGGCATGGATGGATGCTTGTCTCTTGGGTGTGATTGTGCTAGTCAGCAAAGCATCCCTCCTGCAAAGAGCCTGCGGTAGGTGTCGGTGAAGCTCCATCCTTGAGAGTCGGCTGATGGCAATGGCAGGGTGTGCTGCACCTGAGCCCAGCATCTGGGGAAGCATTTGAGACCCCTCTGGGGTGGGCAATCAACTGATCAGCTCTCTGCAGCCCTCATGTGCATGCAGTTGTTTTGGGTTTCGTTCTTAGGCTGCAGCAGTAACTGAGATGTGAAGGGCAGCGTGCGGGGAGGGGTCGTTTTTGAGGACAGACCTGGGAGCTGGAAAGATTTCAGCTGACATCTTGTCTGGATTGCTTCCTTGTTTTATGACAGCTTCATGGGGTTTCAGTTCACAGCCTCAGGTTTTGGTCTCTGAACCTGTAAAACAGGCCTCGTGCAGTCATCCTGCCTTTCCTTTTTCTGCCATGGCAGCATTTTCCCTCGCTTACATTTCCAAGTGCTGTGCACATACCAAAGGACTGAGCATCTGCCAAGCAGCAGTTATTTGGATTTAAGTAATCTCTAGGAATGCCTGTCCATCTTGAAGGTCTTAAACGGCTGCCTTTGTGTGGTTGTGCTGGGTGGAGCCCCCCGCTCTTCTCCCCATTCCCTCAGCTCACACCCAGGCACACACCAAATCGGATATTGTCCAAGCACTCACTCCCTTCCTGTGGTTTGCCTTTATTTTTAGTCTGAGGACAGAGCATGTTTACACAAAAGGGGGCTTCTCGGCAGGGCTTCCCGCTGCTTTTTCTCCTTATTTTAATTCTCTTTCTCTCTATTGCTGTGGCTTGTTCCCACCCTGAGAACTGGCCGGTCTTCGGGAGCCCAGAGCTGGGGCGGGAGGAGCTGCGCAGCTCCAGCAGACACTGGAGCTCCAGGAGTGTGCTGGTGCTATGGATCCCAGTGAGACTGCAGGCAGCCTGTAGAGTCCCTCTGCCTGGCCCCGAGGGCTTTTGCTCCTCTCTGCGGGCTGCCTGCAGGGTGGGGTGGGACTCGCTGATTTTATGGAGTTAATCCTAAATCCTCCTCTTGGCCCCGGCTGCACTTTTCCTGAGGGCAGGCATGGTCCCAGGCTGGGATCTTGGCAAGGGGTTGGTATCAGGGAGCTCCCTGTGCTGTCTGAAAACCAGCCTCCTTGAGCCATCTCTGGACGCTCACCTTAAAATTTGGTCCCACCTTCAGAAACGGTGACCCCCATGCTCCTTCCATGGGCCAGGAAACATCCATGTTCTCTTTCTCCCTAGGCATAGCTTAACTGCTTTTATCAAATCTAACACAGATGACTTGAAATCAGGCAGCACTTGACTTCTCAACCCATAGAAAGAACACCCAGCACTTGCTATAAAATCGCATAGTAGCAATGCAGAGTTTTCTTGGCTTGCACACATTGGCATTTTAATTCTGCAGGTCTATACCAAAACATCAGCCTGAGTTATTTTGGTGGGAGCAATGAACATAAAGGAAGAGGATGATGCTCCTCTCTGTGACCAGCTCCTCGGAACAGTATGTGAAACTTTTTGGCCTCTTCACATCCCAAACATTAGAGTCACGGAAAAAGAAGATAAGCCCACTGTTAATGCCCACTCTTTTATTTTCCTAGCATATCTCTGCTAATTTTTGTGTAGGGTGACTCCCAAGTACTCCCTTTCAATTAGGCGCCTGCTTTCCTGTTTGGCAGTGGCTCTCAGGTGCCCTGTTACAGCAGAGCCGCTGGGGGAGCACATGGATGGGGGTGAATGCTGGGAAGAGGGCTGGTGTTAATTTGGTAGTGCTTTGTTGGAGAGATGAAAGGAATCGCAACACGAGCAGAAGGGGCCCATCAGCAGCCTCTTAAATGCCTGGTGGGAAAAAGAAATAAATTATTTTGTTGGGAATTCAATAATTGGGTCCCCTTGGGCTGGGACCCCCCTTATCCTGCAGCACATACCATGTGGCTGGGGCAAGCGTGGAGCCTGGCTGCATGGGGCTGAGCCTCTTTCCTCTGGGCTGGGAAAACTGGGTAATTCGTTTCTCAGAGATGCAGGGAGGTTTGAAAGGCACGTTGCTGTCAGGATGCTTCTGCTTGGGATTATTTTCCATGCAAACCACATCCTTCATGTCACCAGCTTGGGGTTTAGCTTCCCAAGGATGCTCATACAGAGCCCGGAAAACTCATTTATCAATTTATCATCCTCGTTTCTTCCTCCGAGGGTGAGTCCTTTGGAGGATTTACTCTCCTTGACAAGCCAGGGGAGCTGATGCTTTCCTGTAAGTACCCCTGGTGAGGAGCTGTGGGAGATGAGCTTTACCTGGGGCTGCTCCAGCAGACAGGGAACCTGCAGTCGTTAAAGTGATATACGTATATAAACACTGGTGATGTAAAAAGATCCCTCAAACAGTGCCTTAGGGGCTTTGATGGATTGAATTAATTAAATATATTCCCACATACTTAACCTGAAAGTGATCAAAGCATCCTAATCAGGGACTTTTGCTCAGCTCTGGGTTGTTTTATTTTATTTTTGGGCACATGGGGTGTGCCCCAGTTTCATAGGAGAGGGTGCAGGAAGGATGTGTGTGTCAGAAGATGATCTGCAGCTAATCCCAGAGGCTTTATCCAGGCTGATTGCTGGCTTCCTGGCCTGAGACACATCTGGAAACTGGCATTAAATTCCAAGTAGAAATCACTGAGTGAGCAGCAGTAGAAAAAAATCCCAGTGCTACCGAACAAGGTAGACACCGTGGTGAATAAAAGCAGAGGGCTGCTAATGTGGTCTTTATTTATTAAAAAACACAGGATTGCTTTCCCCAGGTTTTTCCAATTATAGTGCATTGAATGGCCCTGACATCACTCTTGAGCCAGGGCCAGCCTATTCAACAGTCTGGCGAAGACATTTATTAACTGGTTACCTGCCAATTGTCTGGGCTAGGAGCTGTGGGACAGATGTGTTTTGAAAAGTGATAACATTGTTAGGGGCCTTATTTAGATAGCGAGAGGAAAGCTGCACCACTCTGCCCAGGCACTCTGAAGTAGGCATTTAAAGCAGTTTATGAAAAAAAAAATAATAATAATTAGGTTGAGCTATAACTTTGTTGTGTGGTTCCACTCTGCCACCCTGTTTGTAGGTAGGTTTTCACAG